GTGATACGTCGTCAACAGAGACGTATTACTCGGAGGAGGATAACGAAGAAGAGTGATACAGCAAGAGTGGTGTGAAGTTTGACTGTATGCGCGATTTTTTTGCATGACGTGTTCAACCACGGAAAAGTCTACCCATAGCCGTAGATTCAACACTGCCGCTCTATACGTATAAAAGCAATAGAATTACTGTTATTTTGGATCTGCAAACAATACACTTCGGTCCATCCCGATACTGGTTAGGGGCAGTTGAAGTCTCTGACTATGGTTGAAGTCTCTGATCGTGATGACGTGTCATCATCACAAATCATCGTCACAAGCATCAACAACGCGTTTCAGCCGTTATACAGGCAAAATTGATATGTATACGTAGCTACCGACGAAAACAATGGACGACGGTATATTTTTTGTGTTCTGGTGCGCTTGTGGCTAACCTTTTGGCAATCTTGTTGGCTACAATCATGGATTTGATGATTGACCATCATATGACGACACGATTAAGATCTATTGCGCGCGAACGCACGATGAAAATTTGGATTGCTTGCTGATGTTCAATATTGGCAGCAAATCCTCCCTTTTATAGTTCGATATCGTCAAATATATGCTCTGTCCCATCAAAGTTGACGAACGAATGGCGGAAATGGCCCTCGATCTGGGGTAGACGATACCCAATCTCCATAGCGCAGTCACGTAGATATTCCATGAAATCCCGAGTGTCATTCTCATCGTTGTTCCACTTCGAATACGTCTTCCTGATGTATCGCTTTAGATCGCCGAAGTACTCTTCGATGGGGTTGAAGTCTGGTGAATACGGAGGCAGAAACTCGAGATGGACACCTGATACCCGGCATAAACCCTCGATTTCAGGTATACGATGGCAGGAGAGGTTATCCATAACGATGACAGAGTTTGGCTCTGGAAAACGCCCACATTTCGGGATAAGGCACTCCTGTAGCCAACGAAAGAACCCATCGCCGTCAGTCGTACCATAATACGTAGTCAAGTGTAGGATACCGCTCAACGTGAGGGCTGGCAGGATCTGTACGCGAGAGTTCTGAAACCGATCAATCTCTGCAGTTCGAAACGCAGCAAGCCCTTTCGGCGCCCATCCAGTCCTCCGTATCCCAGTATCCTTATTGACGCCGGATTCGTCGACGAATACCAGCTGGTCGGGGCGATATCGTCGTATACGGTACAAGTACTCGTATCGTAGTTCGTCACTTCGCTGAGCAGCAATAATCTTGGACTTCTTGTTCGTCCAGCCAGCTGAGTTTAACTGTCGACTGATTGCAGAACGACTGATCTGGATCTCGAAGGCTTCAAATAGGAAATCTTGCATCTCTTCAAGAGATAGATCGCTGCGGTACTGCAGTAGTTCAAGAAGCTCTGTACGATGCCATATTTCCATCTTTTGTCGACTCTGGCGGCACCTCTTATATCTCTGCACTTCGCCAGTGATATTACGTCGTGATCTATGTCGTCGAATCGTTCGTTCGGTACAGCCAACGATACTTGCCAGCTCGTGGGTCTTTTGGTCTTCGAATGGCAGTATCATCGCGATCGTCGATAGCTGTAGATTCGATATTCTGGGCGCCATTGTATCGTCGTCGTCGCCCGGCGTCTTTCTCGATGTATCTGATATAATAAACCACGGACATGTACTGACCAGCGGCAAACTGTAAGTAACAGGGCACAATCTATACAGCAGTAGACTCTTGCTCAATATCGTGAACAAGCTGAGCTATCAGGAGAGTCATTAATCCTGTTGACTGCCAAAGCATTTGCTCTGAAGAACCGTATCAAGCCCCTTGGTATGCTTATATATTACTCAGAGCCATACAAACCGTATGCTGAGTAGATATATAAAGTCATACAGCAGGTCTCTTCTTCTGTTCCTCAGCAAATGTCATCTTGATCTCTCATGACGAAAATAGACCTTTTGTTGGTCGAATGGTATGGGGATGAGGTGACTAGCTGGGTTGGCAATGCCTCGATGGGTAGATTGACTGCTACGGAAGCATGAAATACACACCTTATGTCTCTATCGTGTAGTTATACGTTTGAATACTACTGGGACTATAGTGATTGACGGCAATTGAGGTGTTGGTGATGACTTTGACGCGTTTTGCGTGCGATGCAGAGAAATGCGCGTCACAGCGTAAAATTGGCTTTTTTTCATGTTTTTGCATAAGCGGGGAAAAAAAAGGGGGGCGGACGCTGTCAACGCAACGGAGTGTAACTCTTGTCAACAGTCCTCATGCCCCTCTCCTAACTCTTTACCTCTACACCTTGCTTCCACGACGACTGCGTGGCTCGACAACCCCTCAGCTGTGTCCATGCCGCGCGCGGTTGGCATATTGCCCTCAGTCGCACCGCATCAATCTGCTCTGATCCCAACGTCAATGCAACTTCGTTGACACCTACTTCGTCGGTCCGATTCAACCGCGTCGCAGTACTGCTTTCGCGCCATGCAAAGCCCACCACGGCCATGAGCAATCGAAATGGGCTTCACGACCTTCCTCGGCTCCTCCACCGAACGACTGCATTCCCCTCGCACAAAGCCTTCGACTCCTTCATCCACCGACAAAGTCGACAACACTCTGAATGTAGACTCGGACGTGACCGCGGACACCACCTCTCACAATGGTTACATCTACGACGAATCACACCTGTGCAGTCTGCCAGCCGACTGCCCCGATATACGCGAACTTAATAACAGTTTGGTGGCCCTGGCCGCCGTGTTTCCCGACGTCCAGATCCAGGTTTTCCGCGAAATGCTTTCCAACTTCGACCAAGAGTCCAGGCTTGCCGTAGTTGCCGACGCCCTTCTGAAAAACCGTGTCGCCTGGGTCAAAGGTCGCTGGAGAGTCGCCAGTCATCAGCGCACAGAGCCCCAACGGCATGAAAAAGACCTAGGAGAATCAGAAAACCTGCTGGTTCCTCGTGTCGAAACATTTCGAGCCTCTGACTACAAGCAGGCCGTTCAAGCCTTGGCCTGGCACGAGTTCAAGGGTCTCTCGAGATCCACTATCAACGCTGTCCTTGCGGAATCCAACTATTCATATCTCGAAGCACGTAAAATCCTCGTGTCTCTCTCGTCGAAGTCCTGGCGTTTTACCATATCCTCTCTTTTCCTCCGGAGGAAGCCTGTGGCATCTGTCGACGCCGAGAACCATCCCCTAGTAGTCTGGAAGTCAACCGGACAGGGCGCTATCGTGCCGTCTCTCAAAGCTACGGGAAATGCCGAACTGGACAGCGAATTGTATCGTAATCTAATCCAACCACTGAAGGAGAGGGCCAGGCAAACGCAGGAGGGAAAAGACCACGGTTATGCCATTCTACTGAATAACGAACAGGCCGAGGAGGTTCACGCCTATCACGAATGTGCTTGCTGCTTTACCGAGTCCACCTTCGAGGAATTCACCAACTGCAATGCGGATGGCCACATGCTATGCTTTCGTTGCGTTCAACATTCCATCAAAGAGGCTGTTTTTGGCCAGGGTTGGCACAGCAGCATCGATATAGATTCCGGCACGCTCAGATGCCTGGCGGTCGAAGGGGACGGATGCTCTGGCTGTATCCCGTACGATCACATGCGCCGCGCAATGCTAGAGGAGAGGAAAGGAGCAGAAATCCTCCACAAGCTCGACCAACGTTTGGCGGAAAACAACCTGCTGGCATCGAACTTACCGCTCATCCGGTGTCCATTCTGCGAATATGCCGAAGTTGATGACATTTACCTGCCGGCTGACGAGACACGATTACGCACTAGGCTTGACAGCCTTCTTGGCCTTTTACTAATTTTTCTTTGCATCCTAACGGTGCCCTTCATTCTCCCCATAGTATTACTCTCATCAGTCGTCTGTCTCTTGGTCAGCACCGAGCGCACGTTGGGCGACTACCTTGTGATTCAATGGAAACTCGCTCTCGGTCGCCATCGAAGGCGGCGTCGCGGACTGAAGTTTACTTGTCAGAACCCTGATTGCAACAAGAATTCTTGTCTATGCTGCTCCAAGGCGTGGACAGACATTCACGTGTGCAACGAGTCATCCTTGGTTGCGCTGCGTACACAAGTGGAGCAGGCCATGAGCATGGCCATCAAACGAGTCTGCCCGCGTTGCCATACGTCCTTCGTCAAGAACTCAGGCTGTAACAAACTTACCTGCCCTTGCGGATACAAGATGTGTTACGTATGCCGCAAGGACATCGGGGGCATGAACGGCGAGGGCGAAGGTTACCGGCATTTCTGTGATCACTTCAGGCCCGATGGCGACCCGCGACCATGCACTGAGTGCACGAGGTGCAATTTATGGGAGAGTGAGGATACGGACTTCGTGCTGAGGCAGGCGAAGGAGGAGGCCGAGGCCAAGTGGCGGGAGACGGAGAACCGGGAGTTGAGTGGTGCAGAGAAGGCTTTTCTGGAGACGGGCTTCGCTAGGAATGGAGTCTCGTCGGTCGAAAGTTACATCAAGAACGGACGATTGCCGACCTTGGCCGAAGTGTGCGACTTTATAGTCGAAACCAGCTTCGTCTGACGGCCGGCCAGTGGTTTACAGATCAACTACATTGTTGCCTGGTTAGACAAGCTCCTCAAGAACACCACTTCCGTGGTTTGAGCCGAGACAGGGCGACTTGAAGTTCAATTGCTGTCCCACTTTTGGCTTGCAGAAGCACATCTGGCCGTCGTGATGCACAAACGGCACCTTCTGCCAGCCAGCCGTCCCAAGCGGGATGCCCGATAGGGGCTGGGATCATCAAAACGTCCGTATCGACTCGCTATGATAGAATTATTGGCACCAAGTACTACTTTGTAATAGGGAAACAGGCTAAATCTGAATGCATTGCATCGATTTCCTGATAACATGTATCACGACGAAGAGAAGACACGTGATGTCACTGATTAATTGTACATGAATTTACGTGTCAAACCACGAACTTAGGTCCATTTCTACGAAGCCTGCCGGAGTTCCAACTGGCAACTACACCGAGCAAATCCGAATACGCTAGATCTTGCCCTTATCGGCCAATAGCTCTGCTGCGGCGCCGCCGATGGCGAGCTTGCCCGTCTCCTTCACCTTGGTCTGAAAGATGACCTTACTGCCGTCTTTCCACATTTCCGTAACCAGAGTTTGGCCAGGAATTACGGTGCCAGCAAAACGCACCTTAACGTTCTTGATGGGGCCGAAACGCTCATAGACGGCCTTCCCGGCGATGCCAAAGAAGCATAAGCCATGAAGGATGGGGGCTTTGAAACCTCCCATCTTGGCAAAAGCTGGGTCGACGTGCAGAGGACTACGACCGAACAAATTAGGGTGAACTCGACAAGAAAAGGGCAATCTTAGGCGGCAAACGTACTTGTAGTCGCCGCTCAGTCGGTACAATGCAGCCTGCTCCTCGGTTGTCTTTTCCTCAATGACGACGTCAGGATGCCTAGAGGGAGGCTTGTTTGCAGCGGTGCTGGCTCCGCGGTCAGCTGGTTTCTTCTGGCCGCCAAAGCCACCACAGCCTCTCAAAAACACTGTCATCTCGTTGTAGAAGATGGGCTCCTTGGTCTCTGCATTGACAGTCGTGATGCCGTTCTTGACGATGGCAGCGTTACCCTTGTCAACTACCTCGAGCAGCTTCCCGTACGATACGAGCTTCGCCGTTGTGGGTATGGGATACTTCTTGATCTCAAGGTACTGCTCCCCGTGTAACAGCATCATTGGCGAAAAATTCGGAACGATATCGTCGAAGTTGTATGGCATTTCTGTTCCAAAGGGAGGTATGACTCCAAACGTCGGAATTACTTGGAAGTCATCAGCACCCTCGAAGACATACTTCAGCTGCTCGCGCTTGGCACCAATTCCCAAGTTGTAAAGCATGACGTCACGCTCTTCGTACTGGAATTCAGTGCCCTTTGGTTTGGCATTCATCGCGGCCTTGATGGCTTCGAGGTACTGCGATCCACTGCCAGACGATGCGTCTTGCTGTAACTCATGGTCAATAACTTGGGTTTTTTTTCTTAAGACTAGCGCTACTATACAACGTGTGCCGACAGCATCATCGGGAAGTGCAAAGTCATACCTTGTTGCTCTTGTTTTCCATGTTCGCCATGACCTTCTGAAGACCATCCTGTGTCTTTTCGGGATGGTCGGCGCGTCCATCCTCAAAGTTGCGAATCGCATCCCAGTGTTTCAGCACCTCCTCAGGTGTTAAAGGGACGTCGACCGGGAAGCCGTGGCCGCCGCTTCGTTGCCAGCGGGTCTGGCCAACCCAGCCACTGCCGACTTCGTATAGGCCGCCGGTAGGGTTCTTCGGCACTTTGTCACTGCAAAGGGCCAAAACAACTGGGGCGATGTAATCGGGCTTGAAGGCCTGGACCATCTCCTCGGGCATGATCGTCCTAGTCATGGCTGTACCAGCGTTGGGCGCGATGGTGTTGACGTAGATGTTGTACTTGTAGCCCTCAAGAGCCAGTGCGCGAGAGAAGCCCAAGATACCGCATTTCTGCGTGCCTGTCAGTCAAGTAACTTTACGCGTACGGGGATACAGGAACACGTACAGCAGCTGCGTAGTTTGCCTGGCCAAAGTTACCGTAAATACCCGAGGTAGACGTGGTGTTGATTACGCGACCATACTTCTGCTTCAGGAAGTAGGGCCAAGCAGCTTTGGTAACCTTGTATGTGCCACGGAGGTGTACGTTCAACACAGGGTCCCATAGACTGTCATCCATGTTGTTGAAAGCCTTGTCGCGGAGGATGCCTGCGTTATTGATAACAATATCAACCCGGCCAAAGGCATCGATGGCAGCTTTCACGACTGCGTCGCCGTCCTCAGCCGATGCCTTCACTCCGACAGCCTTTCCTCCGAGTTCCTTGATCTCGTTGACGACGTCGTCAGGATTCGCTAGGTCATTGACAACCACGGAGGCGCCATGCTTCGCAAACGCTAGACTGTAAGCGCGGCCAATACTGAGCCTTGTTAGCCAAGTCCAGCAGACGTAGGCATGAGGTAACTTACCCAGCACCTCCGCCGGTGACGAGTGCAACGCGGCCAGTGAAGTCCAGCTTTTCTCCCTGATCGTTAGGGCCCATCTTCATGGACTCCTCCAGAAGAGTCAAGAAATCATTGGGACCCGATGGATATTGAGGATTGGAAAAGTCGGTGGCCTGATCCCAGTTTTTCAGAACAGCTCCAGGAGTGTAGCTGTCGTCGGCCTTGAGCAACAAACCGTTGGATCTTTCCCAGCGCAACTTTGCCACATGGCCGCCTCCGACCTCAAAGATGGAGCCGTTCTCGTCCACGTTGTCTTTATGTACCAGGACAGCAACAAGGGGAACGACCCAGTCAGGCTTCAGGTTTTCCAAAACATCGGGCGGCATCACAGTCTGGGTCATCCTGCTGGCAGCTATCACACGACTTAGCGCGCCATCTCGCTAGAAACTCCGCTTATCCCACGTTGCACTTACCGATTGGTGCAATTACATTGGATAAGATATTGTACTTGGCACCCTCCTTGGCCAAGGTTTCAGTGAAGCCAACCATGGCGAGTTTGGCAGCTATGCAGCAGCTTAGTGTCAGATATCATAGATGTTGGGCCTTGCAACGAGGCTTACCCGAGTAGTTGGTCTGGCCGAAGCTGCCAAAAAGGCCAGCTGCTGATGCAGTGTTGATGACGCGGCCGTACTTTTGCTTCCTGAAATGGGGCCATGCTGCACGGGCACACTTGTAGGAACCCTTCACATGAACCTTCATAATCAAGTCCCAGTCTTCATCCTTTATGTTCTTAAAGCTAATGTCCCTCAAAATACCGGCGTTGTTGATGAGAATGTCGATGCGACCGAAGTTTTGGATAGCCGTCTCGATAATTTTGTCGCCATTCTCGACCGAGTCGTAGTTCGCAACAGCCTTGCCGCCGGCAGCCTTGATCTCGTCGACAACAACGTCGGCAGCCTGTACCCACCGTGATGTTAGCAACTTCCGAGCTATTGGCGGCGTGTGTCGTGATATCATCGTGACCACAAACCTTTGTCGAGTTGCCTTCGCCCTTGAAAGAGCCGCCTAGATCGTTCACAACGACACTGGCACCGCGGGAGCCGAAGAAGGTGGCATAAGCCTTGCCCAACCCGCCGCCAGCGCCCGTGACAACAACGACCTGGCCGTCGTAGCGTAGCTGACCAGCCATCTTATCTCTAGAGCTTTGGGGGCGCAATGAACCAACAGTCGGTTAGTGGTGTACTGGGGAAAGGTTTCGATTAACACAAACGCAGAAGAATGGATGGTAGCAAATGGACATGCGAGATGGGGAAATTGAGAAGTATAGGACTGGGATTTGGGCACTGCGAGAGGACGGGCGGATGGTTTTCTAACGTAGCACGTCCGGCAACTCTGAAAGAGCCAGCGTGACGGTTGCCGCAGACAGAGCCGAGGCAGCTTCTCTGACCGAAGCCGACAAATGGCGCTAGTCCGTAATAAGACAGAGACTGGATTCACATGCAACTTAGCCGTGGGTTTGGCGGAAGTCTCCATGAGGTCATGTGGAGAAAGAGACGTCTCCCCGCCCCCTCCCCATGTCACATGTCCCCAGATTTTGTAATTTCGACCAGTGACACGAGAGTATTCCGACGGGGCAACTGCGTAGTGTCCGTACATGAAGCGAACCTAGTACCAGTACCTAGGTATTACCGTAACCACCAGGCAGTAGGGTAGGCAAGACGCCGCACAGGTATGCGGGTAGATATGCAGTAGGTACCGCATGTTGCGCCTGGGGTCTTCCTCACCAAGAGCTGGATGGACCCAGCTACCTACAATTGACAACCAGCCTCCTGCCGAACAACACCAAGGTAATAGGATATCGACTCGTGCAGCCAGCAACCTAAATTGATTACCAAACCCAACCCCTGGATTCTCGGAACTATGATTCGGCACATGCGACGCAGTAATGCAGCGACGATGGACCGGTTGACTGGTTACGCCGCAGAAGACGTACAACACTTCCTCAATGTTTGGGAGAAATTCATCTCTGCAGCATCGTCCACCCTGTGATGCTTGGATGTTCACCATCCACTAACAATCTCCCTCCCCGGGGTTCGGCACACCTTCGGGACCTCTCAAGGCCTCTACTTGTGCCACAAGCCTGAGGCCTACTTGCTGCTGTTGCCGCCAATCTAAACATCATCTTGGGTCAGTCAAAGGAGAAACCTATGGCATGATGACCGATTCCATGGACATATTCATTCAGATTGATGCGGAGGATAATGAACGTGAAGACCTTGAGTGTTTTTTTTTTTTTTTTTTTTTTTTTTTGATAAATAACCCCCCATCATATGCGAGGTATTCTTCGACCCCATCGGAGGTGGTGTGTTGTCTTCGCAGCAAACCAGGGCATCAAATTCAGACTCGTCGTGGACAAAAACATGACAATGACGACACACGTAGCAGTATAATCAATGTTCTCTCTGATGACGTATTTTTTGGGTGCCAAAATTGATTAGAATACAGTATCGCGACGGCTCTTCCTGTCGCAGAAAGGTTCGTTTTCTCCCTAACTCCAATCGTGATAATCGTGACTCGTAACTCATAATAATTTTGTCATAGGAAAATATACTCTCCATGAACCTCATACTTGTGACCGTGGGAGAGAAAAAGTAGCTCAGAGGCAAGCTAGTGAATCGTTTCAGAATTCCTTATCCGCCAGCATGTCTTCGCCTTTGTGTTTGAATTGGTTCAATTTTTTGGCGATGCTCTCGGCCCGAAGACGAACAGCTTCCTCCCTGGTTGCAATTTCGTTTTCAAACTGTTCGACCATGTTTCGCTTGTTCTGACGGGCAACTTTCACTTTCTGGGTAATTTGGCTGAACTGTTCCAAAAACCAGTCGCCGGAGCGTTCCCAATCGCTAACTGGCATTTGCATGAAAAATTGCTTCTGGTCTGCTTCACGCTGGCCTTGGAAATGGTCAAGCTTTGCAGGCAGACTATCACCAGTGAGGGGACCGATTCCTTTCAAGGATTTCTTCGTTGGGTCATCGTCAAACGCTTGCTCACGCAGCTCAGAGTAGGTCATTCCTGCGAGCTCGTCATCAGCATAGTCGCAGCTGCCCCGGCGTCGCTTTTTTGTATTGTTTCGCTGAGTGCGACTGGGTGCCGGCAGAGGATTCTCCATGAGAGCTGGCTCTCGAGATAACGCCTTCTTTCGATTGGCTCGAGGAGTGCCATTATCGTCCTCGCTCAAAGGGTAGTCGCTCGCGAGGCTCCCCTCGACCTCGTCATCCAGTCCAAGATCGGCAGTGTGGCGAGTTGGCTGGGTTTGTCCAAGCTTTTCAACCCTTACGAGGTTGTTGTTGGGGATCTTGTACGTTGGGGAGTCCGAAAAGACTTCCTGGTCGTCCTCGTAGGCAGCAGGTGCATAAGACCTTCGTACAGTTGCGGGATGCAGTGCGAGTTTCACGGGACGTTGTGGTGAAGACGTATATGGTTCGCTGGAATAGACATCCTTTTGAGCTGCAGGTTCGACAGAGGCAGGATCATCGCTTTGAGCAGAAACCAGATCGGGGCCATCGTTCGAGGGTGCAACGCGCATGGCACCGTTCTTGCTGATCGTGTATGGTAGTTTGTCAACAGTCTGCAGCGGTGGAAGATTGCCCGTGGCGAAAGTAGGCGGTGGGGAGCGGAGTCGACTGTGAATGTCCATTACGGCGTCATATTTTTCGGACCGCTGAGTCGTAGGCGAGCCGAATTGGCTATCGATTTGTGATTCTGGCCAAAATGCGGACCTATCGCTGCTCTGGGAGCTGGCTCGCTGGTGATGGTGCCTTCGCGGTGAAGCATCAGGAGCGTTCGCGGCAGAGTGCACGCGCAGGGGCTGCATTGAAGACAATCCCGACTGAGGAGGCTGTCGGAGCATTGTCAGATGTGTAGCATGCGCTCTAGCAGATGCAAATGGTTTTGGGGCGGGAAGCTTCGTGGAGTCGGTGATTGCGTGACTTGAGATTTGATATGCCGGAGGTGTTGCGGAACGCCGTTCCACTTCGTGATTTCTGGCGAGGTTCGCAGCCCCATCGGGAAGAACGGAATCAGGGGAAGGGTTCCTGGCGTACTGGGCCATCCTGTTCGAGCCCAGATTCGGTGGCATGTTGCCAGTGACGTTGCGTCCGTCCCTACGCGCCGCCTGGTTTTGCTGGGTGTCAAATGTCGGGATCGGATGTCGGGGAAGAATTTTGCGGAAATAGTTGAGATTTGGTCATTGCAGATGACCACGATGGTCAACAAGCCGTGGGTTGAAAAGGACCGAGACACAATGAGGTGCCGGGCTTTCTTTTATCGAGAACTGTAGGCTGACGCAGCATCAACTCATATCCGGTGAGGAGGAAGGAGGTGTTGGATGCAGCAAGTAGTAGGGTTTAGCTACCGGACGCGTCAAGGTTCGCGTATTAATGGCCAAAGCGCGCTCAGATGGCATCGGGACAGGGGAGTACACCACCCCGCCACCCTTTAGTACCGAAGGTAGGTAAGGTAAAGTGTACACCTGTCGCAGCATCTTAAAGGTTAGCGTAGTACTTGCGGGGCTTCGTGCTTCGGTAAGCAGGCGCGTGAACCGTCGGTAAATTGGACTTTCGATACTCGTCGCATGATTATGCCACACGCACTCACCTTGGGGATCTCCCAACCACAATCCGTGAATGACGCCTCTGAGAATTCGGGCGAAAGTCGAAACTCCTTCGAAGGCGTAGGAGCGACTTACTAAGAGCCTTAATCTATTTCACTGCAGAACGACTAAGCCCGCCAGCCTGCATTGCCTAGGAGACATAGAAAGATGTAACCACTCCAGTTTGCGGTAGCCCCAGCTTGATATCTACTGCAATTTCTTTCAAAGCAGTATGGCCGATTGGCATGAACTCTGCCGGCGGCACCAAGCGAGGTTATTGAATGTATCTCGTCAGCGGTGTGACGTAGAATTGGCTTCTCTTCCGGTTATCGGGCCAAGCGGGCTTCCAGTAGCTTCTTGCTATCGTCGTCATTATCCATCTCTGGTACCTTAACTCACAATCCAGTAAATACATCCCTCGCCACTGTTTCCTGAATTCGCATGGCTGGAATGTCTGCACAACGGAGGCATCACATCATAAAGTAGAACACCAATTGACGTGGTGCTTGAGGAAGGCTGACCAGACGGAGGAAACTGTATCCGGCTTACCGCAGAGACAAAGTTTCAGCAACGTTCTATTACTATGCGGTCAGGTGCAGAAGGCGATCCTCAGATGTTGTGAATTATTTCGGTATTTTCCGGTTCCTCCATAGATCTAGTCTAGCAACCATCTTGGCTGGCAGGAAGCTGAGCATGCAGCTCTGCTAACCGCTACGCCACTTGCGCGCCTCACACGAATCGCTCGACTGCTTCTTCCGATCTATCCTCTTGTTCCCTATGGCGAAGCAATAATTTCGCCTCTTCCTGGGCAAATATCGTCACCTGCACAACCGCGCGTCCCGCTTACCAGTCATATTTACTGTCTCTTGGTCTTAGAACTTTCCGCTTGCCAAATCTGCAGCAGCTTCATTGCCAGCCGGATCGGCCGCAGCTCGAATCCAAACGCCGTAGCTCGCAGACGCATTATGAACAGGGTCTGACGGCAGGCAACGAAAACTGGTGTCGTTAGTTTGCCGATGCCCTTCACGCCTGTCCGTTGCAATCACAGGACCCATCCTTCCGGCCAACCTCTCACTCAGACTTTTGTTCTGGTGGTGCCAATGTTTTTGTGGCCGCCATCACCTGGTGTTTAGCCCGAAAAGTGGAAACGGGCCGCCTCAAGTTGGCCAAGACCCTCTCGGGGAGCTACATATCGCCGGCGGTAGGTGTTGGTGAAATCTTGCAGAAGCGCTCTCACTTGTCTGATTGCGCTAGGGTCATCACCGCCCAGGCGCTCCTTGATTTTAGTCATCAGTCGGTTTGCTTCGACTGGCGTGATTGTGCCCTGTGGCAGGAGATGGATGGTGCGCTCAACCCAAGTGGTCGTCTCGGCCGGGAATAGCTGGAACATTGCCAGAAGAACGCCGCTGCCATCTGCAAAGCAATCTCGGGGGAAGGTGATCATCATTCCTGCCATGACTTGCTTGACCAGTTTCTCACCGTGTGTGCTGAGCAACTTACTGACGACCTCGCGAATGTGAGCAGCAACATCTGGAGGGAGAACATCTGATGTTGCCGGGTTGTCGCCGCCGTATGTAAGGAGGTCGCGAAGGAAATGAAGCGTAGCCGAGAGAGGATCGCGTTGTTCCAATGTCAAAGCAAAGACGGCTGCTTCAAAGATCGGACCCAGGAGCTCCGAGGGTATCAGTCGTTGCGGGTAGTAAAGTAGCGCGTCAATCAGCAGTCGGAAAAAGTCCTCAATGACATCTGGCACCTCGCCCGGCTGAAGCTCGCTCATGACGCGCAGGAATGTCGTTGTCTGCGCCTCGAAGAAGGCGTATATGCTTTGCGTGATTTCCTGGTCCACGTGCTCCCGATCCTCCGAGAACTCTCGAAGTATAGCTGCCGTAACCCAGAGAAAGGCGCCTTGGCGAGAGGCTGAGAAGCCACTGGCCAGCTTGTTCGCCATCTCTGGCAAGAGCGGCGTCATAGCCGTTCTGTAAGAGATGATCATGTTGCGCCAGCACCGGCAAATTCTTTCACAAATGGGAACGAATCCCAGGAAATTGTCCAAGATCGTGGCAAGCACAGGGAAAACCTCTTGCCAGTACTTGACAGCGGGGTTCTCTTCCCCAGGTCCGACATATGGCACTACAATCTGCACAAATGTAGTGACGAGTTGAAGATGGTCTGGTATCATGTCAGCGGCGTGTTCATGGAAGTCTCAATTGCCAACCCACCAGCGAGTGCCAATTTGCCCTTGTCGTCAGTGGCGAGATTGGCTTTGTTCATCAAACGTTGAACGAGTGGATCGCAGTAGAGCTTAAGAAGTTTGTAAATCTCAGCAGGCGGTTGGACAGCAACAACACTGGCCACTCCCTCTGTGATTTCCTCCTGACTCATATCGGGAAGTTTGTCGAGTATTTGATCGTAAAATGTTTGCATCTGGAGTACTTGCCCACTGAGGAGCTGCTTGCAGTCAGTGCAGAAATATTTGATGGCCATAGCTGCCGCCCTTACAACCTCTTTTGAGTCTGTCTGGAACGAGGTTACGATGTAATTGAATTGCGGCTCGAGATATTCGGGGTGGGCCGTCGTCCATTCCGTATATCGCCCGAGGACCATGATAGTGGCAAAACGGAGCTTCTCATGGCTAGGGATCTGGACGAGTAACGGCATCAACTGCGGAAGAACAATGTTCTCGTCCTTTTCGACCATCTGTCCCATTGCCCGCATCGCAAATAGCGGAGCCTCTAGCTCTTGCCAATGTGGAACGGAAGTTGCTGTGGCTTGACCGGCGTACTTATGCATCCAAAGCTTGATAGCCTCAAGAACCTTAGTAAGGCAGTCTGTCACGCCCATTACTTCGCACGAGTCCTTGAGAGTGTCGCCCATTTGATGTCGGAATTCGCGGAATCTTTCCTCCTGCTCCCGATCACCATCAAACAAGTCAGTTTCGTCTGTCGATTCTGACTGGGGGTATTCCAAGTGCTTCAGAAGTATATCCACGAGTTTGGAATAAACGTCGACAAGCTCCAATCTCGCCTGAATGTAACGTTCCAGTGTCAAGTACTGCTTGAGCTCATACCAGAACTGGAAGGTGTGCTCAATCACATCTCTGTCCTTGTCTCTGGCGGCACATTCCAAGACTGAATCGACAAGAGACCGGAAGTGTCCCGGCTCGCGGGCAATAGCTACAACCCATGCCTCTGCAGCCAGAGCGAAGATCTTGGTCAGGGACTTGTATACTTCCGTATCTTCCTCGTTGACAACAGCCTCGATCCTGGGACGGAGAGCAATAACGCGAGGCAGGAGAGCTTGTATCGTGTCGAGATTGTCGTCGACGTCTCTCGTCTCCCGGAAAATTGTGCAGAGACATTCTGCGGCCTCCTGCGAAGCCTGATCGTTGCCCACAGCGTTGAAGATAACGTCGAGAAGAGGGGACTTGACAACATTGCTGACGGGAACCTCACGCAGCCAAGATGTAATACACTCCATTAACTGGGGGTTTTGAGCAGCAGAGGCTGCATGAATGACTCATCAGCGTGGGTTCTAAAATGTGTATCGTGTATACGGCTTTAGGACGTACCAGATGATTGGGAGTAGTTGATAAGCAGTTGCACGACCTGGTCCGTATTGTCACCCAGCAATTCCCTGGTCCGCTGGGAAAGCTCTTCTTCCTGTCATTGCCAATTAGACTCTGATCCCTGTTGATATAGGCCCATCAAAACCACGCCGCTGGAAGTAGAAGGCCGGTCGGTGTTTCCGTGATCCACGTACAGTTAAGGTGATTTTGCGGCCTTCGGTCACCTCCTCGGGCAGCACGCGCAGAAAGTCGAGAATGGCGGCGTGGCTCTCAACGCTGTCCCCGAGAGATGATACTACCGTGGGAAGAACATCCTTCCAGTCCTTCATCTGCACTGCCAGTGTCGCCAGACACACGCAGAGCTGAACTC